GAGGTGTTTACCAAGTGACCCAAAGAGTGACTTCAGCATAGGAGGGTTAAGCAGGGCTTCTAGCCCATACGTTGGCATTTTAGCTGCTTTAGAAAAAAACATTTTTTGCTCCTGGCAAGTCCACTGATAATTTTATATAATCTTTGAAGAGTCAAACATTACCTGGGCCCCTTTCATGATTCGTTTGGTTTTGCTGTTCAAGAAGAAATCTCCCCACAACGTCTTTCGCAGGATTTCAAACTTCACACCCAGTTTGGCAGCATACATGGTTGCAAAATGGTCAATTCTGGAATGGCATAAAAAATGATTCCAGTTAACCCCTTCACGGCGGGATAATTTTGACCACGACTGCTGGGCTGTGGTATGCCCTGAATGGAGGGCTTTGTCCAGCAGCAGGCCCCATTGAACCAGCAGCTGCATGGTGAATAGACTGTATTTGTGGTATGCACTAATCCTCACACGACGGTGCAGTAGCAGCAGTCCTCCATAGCGAAGGGGTTAGTAAAAACAGACATGAGTTTGGCAATACAAGCACATCATAGTTCTCTGGAGCTATCATAAGTTGTAACCAGTATAGTCATTGTTTCACTAAATTTTTGGCATATACGCACACAGAAGGTGGAAAACACACCCAAATTTTGTGAAACTGCTCACTGTTTTAGTTGAAAACCTTATTTGAATAAGAGGGCTCTTAAAGTTATCAAGTGCTGGCAAGAAAGATTATCTTAACTTAAATTATTAAAGTTAGATGAATGGTTACTCAACCAAAGAGAGATTACGTGAAAGATCCTAAGCTAGGCAATATTAGGCGATAAAGAGAAATTTTAATGAAACATGGGGGATTATAAGACTAAAATGCTATGACTTTTCAGAGTTATTAACAAGGCATGAAAGTGGCACTAATTTTGTGCGTCTTGCTTTCAGGTTGTTTTTTTGTTTTGACACAGTGTTGGAAATTATCAAAACCTGAATGGTTAAGCCTCTGAATTTCCACAATTTGGGGGTTCAAAGATCAAGAAAATCCAAGAAAGTCCCTTGACATACTATCCCTGCCTGAGAGATCCACTCCAAGGAAAGGATATCACCACTTACCCAAAGCCCCAGCCATCTATAGCACTGGCAAAGATGACGTTCCCCTGGTCTGGAGAGAAATAGATATTGGAATCGTCTGTCTCCTCCAGCCCATCGCTCCAATCATACACCACTTTCTCTTCGTTGGTCTGGCAGCGTTCTGAGTCATTCGACTGGACTGTTCTCTCCGTGTTTTGTTGCTGCAAAAACAAAACGTCTCAATAAGAAGTTTGAAAGGCATCACTATTAAAGAAAAGTTGCTGATTTCTTTGTAACTTTTGTAAGCAGTGCACTTTGATTATTTCTCCTGTGCTTAGGGAGCATCTCATCAGTCGGAGGGAGCGTTATGTTGCAACATTCCATCAGATCGCTTCAGCCTTCCTCTGGAGTAGCCTGTGTGCCTATAAGAATCGAGACCATTCCGTTGGACCTTTCTACCTTTCACTGGTAAGCATGAGGGAAATGTGAGTGTAGTATATTGATCTGAGACTATCAATGCTGGGTATTTAGCAGAGACCAATTGTACCACAAGGAGTGACTTTTGCTTTTGCTCTTCAAATGGGCTGCCAGAAAGCACTGAAATTGCAGCGCTAACAATCATACATGTTCGGCCAGGCAGCACAACACAGGGACCAACAAACAAACTTACGGTGGCTTGCTCCAGGACTCCCGAGGCAAACAGGTTTCCCACCACGGCGTTAACCTGCTCCAGCACCTGCTGAAGACGCAGGTGGGCCTCCTGGGGGGTGTACTTGAGCTCCGAAATGAGGCGGTCTATCTTGTTGAGGACCAGGCAGGGGGTGATGTGCTCAAGCCAGGCCTGGCGCAAGACTACATGGGTCTGCGTTGGGAGATGCATTCGCGTTAGGAGAGTGGCAGGAATATAAGAACAAATATTGATCAATTTTCAATACATGTATCAGCAAATGCAATTACCGAACAATGGTCAATGGGAGACTGTTCCTTACAAACAAAGTGGACACCTTGAAATAACCTGGCCACAACTTTCATTCCTCTTAAGCAATCTACCTATGTGAAAGAGACTGGAATCAGTCACTCCAGTCAACTACAGTGAAGCAGTTTATTTCTGCCCATGATGAAGGCAGGTAAATTACTAGGACTCATCAAATGGCCCACTTGGCAAGGCAGGGCTGTGCCAAGGTGCAGGTAACCGACTGCTTTCTCAGTAATCGGCATGAGCAAAGTATGTTTTTTTCAGACTGTGATTAACTTAACTTTGAGTGTTGAAAACAAAATTGGCTTCTTGGGTTACCGCTGGAAAGTTTGACACAGATTTTTTTTTTAATACGATTTCCTTCAAGTTTCTGATTCCTCTCATATTTGACGTAAAATCTGATTAAGCATGAGGAACTTGTTGACATCAGTGACTTGAAGGGAGCCAGAGTCTGCAAACAACCCTCAACTTACCTGCGGACACACTCCCTCCACCACGTCTACGACAACGAGGGCGCCATCACACAATCTGGTCGCGGTGGATACCTCTCCCGAGAAGTCCACATGACCCGGGGAGTCAATCAAGTTGATAAGGTAGTCCTGATCCCCTGAAGACAGCAATGGACTCCATTAGCATACAAACATTTGATGAAACTTAGATTGTGGGAGAACCGTGGCAAAATGGTCGGAAAATCAAATGGCTTGAGCACAGCAAGAGTTTTTAGTTGTCATTCGACTCTACATTCTGCAATCTAGGAAAATTTCCTGAAGCCATGGTGGTGTGGTACTAACCTTGGCTAAAGCGAAGAGATATTGCACTGGATTTCATGGTGATGCCCCGTAGCTGCTCGTCCTGTCGGCTATCCATGTATCGCAGCTTCCCTGCCATGCGCGACGAGATGATCCCGTTACTGGAAAGCAGGGCGTCAGCCATTGTGGTTTTGCCTGGCAAAAATGGTGCAACATTCTGTCAGTACTGACCCAAAGGGCACAGTTCAGAGGGTTCCTTACTTGACTTCAGACTCAAGATTTTGTTACTGGAATTTGGAAAAAGCAAACTGAACACTGTAGGTTCAGTTGGTCCTTGCCACTAACACCACTTCATTTACAGTTGGCAAGCCTGCTGTATCCAATCCAACCAGTACAGCAGTGCGAAATTGACCAAGCCAATGGCTGTGGCAAAATGGAACGACTGCGACCAGGAGTACCACGTTTGTCTGTGGCAAGTGGCTACTGCCATCAGCAAGCAGCTTCAATGAGCACATTTAGTATTTCTGGCCACAGCCATGATTTTTGGCTGTGGTTTAAGGCTTGAGAAAATGATCATTTCTTGCTGCCCTCATTGGTGGAATCAATCCACTCTAAGATGCAAGGTACATGTACTGGTATCTTTCTTTCTTTCAGGAATGACATCAATTTGTGCATTTGTTACCTTTATGAAAGTCATTTATCCTTTTTTGAGGCTGACGAAAAATGACTCATAGATGGGCCTCAAAAAGAAAGAACCTGTGGTCTTTTTTGAGGCAGCATTCATTTTTTTTAAAATTTAAATACATTTATTTCACGAAGATGGTGGACAGATTTATTGAACTCTTGCTGATAGGCACTATCCGAATTGCTTGGCTGCAGCTTAAAACTTGCACAGCTACAATCAAGTAAATCTGACAGGGCCTTAGTTTGACGTCAAATAGGGACTTCCATCTGTCCACCAGGCCTAACATTTGTGATTTTAGATAAATTTCGTATTCAGAAAAAAAAAGTCAAAATGCACGGAAAATGCAACAGAAAGGAGAGACAGTAAGATATCAGCTGAGCCAGTTTACTCACCATGGTCCACATGTGCCAAGATACAGATGTTGCGGATGTTGGTCGCATTCTCTTGTAGTCTGGAGAGTTGCTCAGCATCAACCCCCTTCATATTACCTCAGGACTCCGCCCAACACCTCCAACTGATAATTTAGGTCAACCACTATGTACAAGAATAATTACAGGCATGCTAATTACCAGCTTTAACAAAAGAAAATGTAACCACACCGGACCTGATGTGGCCTGTTATTAGAAGTGCACATACAGCAATTTACAGCAGAACTCAGGTACCACTGGTTACTGTCCAGCAGTGTCCAGCATACTGTCCAGATATAGTTGTTCGGGGGGGGGCTATTTAATATATTTACAGTAATCTCAATCTGACCAAAATCTAACGTTACACATGTGATTCCTTTCCACCAACTTTGCATGCTTAGGCTCTAAATAATTGGCATACTGTGCTCCAACACTGGACAAAATTGTTGGGAATTTAGGCAATAGCCAAATGCTCTCCAGCCCCCTCTCCCCACTCCTCCGGTCAATGTTGTCATGTCCGGCCGGAGTGCAGACTACGCGCATAACTGTGTTAGACCCAACATTGAAAGGGGGTCTGGGGGTTGGAGGCCCAACGAGATTTGTCCAGGATTGTAGCCTAAAGTTAGCCGTCAGTACTACTAATAAACATTACGCGACAGCCGCACATTGCCAAAGGTCACAGTCTGCCATGTGTGCGTATGTCCAGTTAACCCTGCATTAACATTGACAGACACCTGATTTAATTTCCCAAATGTAACCCAAATACGCCTAGGGTCATAACAGTCAGGAGACATTGCCCGAGTAACAGTCTTTGGAGTAATTGCAGAATACCCCGCCACGCAAAAACACCCCCTAAAAATCCAATGGCTACGTAGTCAAGTGGAGGTTGTTCAACTTCCAGGTCATCCTTGCGTCAAGGTACGTGTTGTGTACAGTACTGAAGTCATTTTTGAGAATGAAGCACTCACTTGAATTACATACAACTCACAAGGGGAAGACCTTGTGAGTCCTGCAACGCAAAGTGAATGGGGATGGCGGAAGAATTTTTTAAGTCCAGTGTGGGTCCCGGGGAGCGGCTACGCAGATGCAGGGATACGAAGTGGGCCTTGTGGATGGAAGTGTGATTCCATATCCGAGTATCCGCAGCTACGAGGTGGGCAAGGTGAGTGGCGGGGTATTCCAGGGGTCCTGCTGAAAGTTTGGTGGTCCCTTACCAGAACTGCTTACGCAGCCGCTTGAGCAATCCTTGTTAGGGTGCAGGCCGCAACAAATTGGTTTTTTTTTAGTTTGCCCGATCGGGCAGGCCATGCCATAAATTTGCTTGCCCAAATGGGATCAACACTTGCCGAAGATTTCTTGGGATCCACAATTATTATGGTTATTTAACCACTT